TCTGTTTTCTCCTTCACAGATGCTGCCAGACCTGCTGAGCTTTTCCAGCAACTTTGTTTTTGTTCCTGATTTACAGCATCTGCAGTTCTTTTGGTTTTTGTTTTGTTACATCCTCAGGGGCAATACAAATGAAAGTTTTTCTGTTTTATTACAACAGCAGATTGTGGAATATTGTCCACACAGCTTGGGATAGCAGGGAAGAGAATTCTCAGGAAAGAATTTGTTTAAGGTAATGTGAGGGAGGTGATGGCCTCATGGTTTTAGTGTGAGGCTGCTAATCTGGAGACCCAGCTAATGTTCTGGGAAACGGTGGTAGATGATGAAATTTGAATTCAATAAAGGAAATACATTTTAAGCCAAGCCAGTAAAATATGATGCCCCAGTCAGCAGCCAAACACCTCAGTGTCACCTACCTGGTCTATTTTTGTCTCATCTGCAAATTTCCCGAATTATGCCTCCCACGTTTAAGTCTAAGTCAGTATAATACACCACAAACAGCAAATACCACAGAAAATATCATGTTTCTTTTTTTCCCCTTTCTGCCTGTTGGACAATTCTCAGTCCAAGGCCCTTGGTCCTTGCCCCACTGTTGCTAACTATTTGCATCAATGTTTCGGGATTGTGGATCTGAAATACAAGATCAAAATTTGCATGTGACAATGTTTTCCTGCACATTGCTGGGCTTGTAGAATGAGGCCGGGAATGGTAAATAATCTCTAAGCACGGTGAAATCTCCATGACCTGCTCCTATGATGCTGCTTGGCCTGCTGTGTTCATCCAGCTCTACACCTTGTTATCTATAACATAAAATTCCCCTTGTGCTGAAATTACCAACTAATCCCATTATGGAATGGCAGAAGCCATTAAACAATGCTGTTTGTCTGAAAATCTGTAGCGGTCTGAAGCATTTTAGCCAAACTTTCGTTCAATGCCAACAAAACAACAAATACAATGACACAGTCGTTCGCAAATGAGTTTTCCATGCAGTGCAAGCCCTGACTTAGCCAAGTGAATGTTGCCGGGAATGGAGAGTTTGAGTTACAAGAAGATAGGGTGGGATAGGCTGGGACTTCTTTCACTAGAGCGTAGGAGACAAAGAGGTGACCTATAGGGTTTTATAAAACTGTGAGCGCATTATAGATAAGATGAATGGCAGGTGTCTTTTCCCTGGTTGGGGGATTTCAAGACTAGGGGGCCTTATTTTTAAGGTGAGGGAAGAAAGATTTAAAATAGACATGAGAGGCAAAATTTTTACACAGAGGGTGGTTCGTGTGCGGAATGAACTTCCAGAGGAAGGGGTAGACACGGGTACAGATACAACGTTTAAAAGACCTTTGGAGAAGTACATGAATAAGTAATACTTGGGAGGATATGGGCCAAGCACAGGCAGATGAGACTAGTTTAGTTTGGGATTATGGTCAGCATGGACTGGTTGAACTGAAGCATCTGTTTCCATGCTGTATGACTCTGTGACTCTATGACTATGGTTAGATCTAAGCTCACTTCAAAATGAAATACTGGAAAAGCCATTGACTCATTTCTCTGTGAGACCTGCACATGCAGTGAAACTGGTGAGAAAGGAAACATGTTGTGGACTGGACAGTAAGTGAAGATGAGACAACTTAGCAGCTACACCTGACAAAAAGGTAAAATGCAAAATAAACACTTAGAGATAGTAAGAACTGCTGATTCTGGAGTCAGAGATAACACAGTGTAGAGCTGGAAGAACACAGCAGGCCAGACAGCATCAGAGGAGCAGGAAAGTTGGAATCTCGGTTTCGGTTTGGAATCCTTCTTCAGAAATGGGGGAGGGGGAAGGGAGCTCAGAAATAAATAGAGAGAGGAGGGGTGGTGCTGGGGAAGGTAGATGGGATGGTAATAGGTGAGTGCAGGTAGGCAGTGGTAGGAATTGGTCAGTGGGGTAGGAGGAGCGGATAGGTGGGAGAGAAGATGGACAGGTTGCGTCAGGTCAAGGAGGCAGGGATGAGAGGGAGGGTTTTACCAGGTTCAAAATCTCCTCACCCCTGGGCTCATCCCATGATCAACCCTCCCTCTCATCTTCTCTCCCATCTATCCACTCCTCCCAACCTCATTGACCAATCTCCAAAATAAACACTTAGACTTTCCCATCAGCACCTTAGGGTGGATGTTTAATGAAATTTTTATAATCCCTCATGGGATGTGGGCATCACTGACTGGCCAGCATTTATTACCCCCCCATAGCTGCCCTTGAGAAGGTGGGGGTGAGCTGCCTTCTTGAACCGGGGCAGTCCATGTGCTGTATTTTAGATAGCCCACTTCTACAGACATTAAAAGTGACTCATTCACATTGAAGACTCACTAAGCTCTGCTTAACACAGATTTCAAGGTGGTTCCTCGTGGGTTTGGCTGATTGAGAGTTTATTGTTGACATAGTTAAGGTCAAAGGAATAGCAAGCACTTTCTGTCAGAAAATAAGTTTCCAAATGGGCCTGAGGGGCAAACACCTGAGAATACCAAGCCATTAAGTCACTTATGGTAGATGCACAAATCATTAAAAATAGCAAAGTCGGTTATCAAGGTCATTTTAAAAAAAAACTAAACTAAATACTAGTTTCATTTATAGAGGGATAGAAGTGAAGACTTGAAAAATTACGATGCTGGAGCGATCTGAAACAAAACCAGAAGGTGCTGGAGAAACTCAGTAGGTCAGAAACAGAGTTAACGTTTCACATTCAGTGACCTTCCGTCAAAACTTGAAAAGTTGTGTTAAACTTGCATTGTTAGCCACACTTAGAGAACTAGACAGTGCCCTGGTCTCCATCCTGTAAACAGGATATGGAGGCATTGGAGCGGTACAGTCTGGAGGCTAAAATAGAATCAAACTGAGAGGTTACACTGAACAAGGGAAAGTGAGCAACAATGAAGTCTACTCCAACAATGAAATCTTCAAGATTATGAAAGACTTTGATATGAGAGATGTAGCTGCAGCTGATGTCAGATTGAAGTCCATAAATATAAGACAGTCACTAATAAAGCCAGCACAGCATTCAGGAGAGTTATATTACTCAGAGAGTGGTGAGTATCTCATTACCACATCAAGTGGTTCAGATAAAAATTGTGTTGGATTAAAAGGAAGCTGGAAAGGGAAAGGAATAAAAGGAAATGCTGAGGATGTGAGATAAGAGGGTAATAGGAGGTCAGCATGGAGCATTTGAACAGAATGGCCTGTTCTATGCTGTAAATGTAAGATCATATGTTTTAAGAGCAGAAGCAGACCATTCAGCCCATCAATTCTGTTCTGCCATTCATTGAGATGGCAGCTGATCTGGTAATCCTCAGTTCCACTTTCCTGCCTTTTCCCCATAACCCTCAATTCCCTTCCTGATTAAAAATCTGCCTGTCTCAGCCTTGAATATACTGAATGACCCAGCCTCGACAGCCCTCTGTGGTAAAAAATTCCACAGATTTACTCCCCTCTGAGAGAGAGAATTTCTTCCCAATTTCTGATTTAAATGGGCAACCCATACCCTGAGATGATATCCTCTGGTCTTAATCTATCCCACAAGCCCCTCTGCATCTATCCGGTCAAGTCCCTAAGAATCTTGTATGTTTCAATAAAGTCGCCTCTCATTCTTCTAAACTCCAATGGGTACAGGCCAACCAATTCAACCTCTCCTTATAAGGCAGAAAGCAAATAAGAAATATTTTGCAAGGTTATATTTACACCATTATTTGTTTTGTATTAATTTCACCAAACAAATATAAAAAAGGCTGCTGGTTCCCTATCTAACCCATTATGAATCCATCCTGTCCTCGGCCGCATTGACAGTTAAATATATAAATAAACTGCTATTAAAGCACTTGTACTTAAAGCAATGAATGATAGCTTTTACAGAACGATCATATTTGAAGCTTCTCACTTATCCTAATCGTTCATGCTGTAATGCCATTTCTTTGGTGTTGTCCACAAATACCCCAGCTTTTGGAGATGACTCACAGAAATTCAACACTGCAAATTTTAGTGTTTCACGACGCCATTGTTTGTTGAAGCAGAGTTCAGTCACACAATAGGAAGAGGATCCAGGAGGAATGGAGCAGGCAAATGTGACATCGATATTTCCTAACACTAAAATATCCCTGTGTTTTACAGAGATAACCAATGTGACTCAGGATCAGCATGTCCCTAAAACCAGACGACCAAATCCTTTAAGCCTCTCTCCCTCGCCAACTTGACCCTGTTGAGTCTTATCTTGCACAGAGGAAGGATTGCCTGGCAACAAGAATTTAAGAAGATCTCAATAAAAACCCATTGCCACTACCTGCCCAGGAAGTGACTCTTAACCCTTTACATTTCCCCTAAAGCTGAGTTAAACTGTATTTATAAAAGTATTATATTTCAAAAATAACTCTGATGCGGTTTGTATTTAATTCTTAAAGCAAAATCCAACACTGCCATCAAACTGCGTTGACCTACTGGAATGTGCTAAATAATTGGTGGGGGGAAGGAAGGGGTGCAGCTGGCAACTGAAAATTGCCATGTAAATTCCCTCAAAGGAGGCTCCTTCCAGTAAATATCGATATTGTTGACTTATGCAAGGATCTCTTCATTAAAAGATAGCAGTTTGTAGCTTATCTGTTAGGGAATGTCAGCTCCCTGCAGATACAAAGCTGAAGAGGCCAATTGATTTGGAGCCATTGACTGACCAGTAACCAAAACTGAATACACATGTGACACAGGGCTACAGGCTACCATTAGAACATGCAGGCCCATAAGTGATCGAGTTGTACAGTATATTATATAAAATCCTCCAACTGTGTGGGCAGACTGTTGGAAGGGCAGTTGCCTCGAATTGTCTGACCATGATTCTCCTAAAAGGTGAAAGCGTACACAACACCAACCACCACAATGTTTCCGATAGTTGCTATTATCGCGATCCATAACCAGATGGCGTCGTTGGAGGTGCGAGCTGGCTCCTCGACCTGATTCGGAGCTGACGAGCTCTCGTTCATATTGGTTGATGAGTTGAACAGTGAGAACTCGGTGTTGCACTCATCGATAGGGGAGTCCATGAAGGCTCCTGTCATCACAGGGATCTGTGGGAGTGAGAATAATGTAAAGATATTCAGTGTTACTTTCACAAGTGGGCTCACTCATGGCAAACATTATAACATCAGGGCTTAAGGAGGCCATTCAGCCCTTCCAGTTCGCACAGACATTCAATGACATCATGCTGGAACTGTTCTGACCACCCTGTCTATACCGCTCATGATTTTGAGTTAGATATTGTTCTTAGGGTTAAAGGGATCAAAGGGAATGAGGAGAAAGCGGGGACTGAGTTGGACAATCAGCCATGATCATATTGAATGGCAGAACAGACTCGACGGGCTGAATGTCCTACTCCTGCTCCTATATTCTATGGTTCTATGTTGTTGTTAAATTGCAGGAACTGTAACAGCTATCCTCCACTTAGTAACTAGAAGCACTGCTCCTAACTACTCTGTCCAAGCTCCCTAATGATTCTGAGCACGCCCATCAAACCCCCTCCCAACTTTCTCCAAAGTGAACAGCACAAACTTCCCCAGTCAGTAACTGAAATCCCTCATCCTTGGAATTTGCACTCATTCTAATGTCTTCCCATCCACATATGTGATGGAATATTCCTCACTTGCCTGAATGGATGCAGCTCCAACAACACTCAAGAAGCTTGACACCGTCCAGGACAAAGCAACCCCCGCCTGATCGGCACCACATCCACAAACATGTTCTTCCTCCACCACCACCGTTGTCAGTAGAAACAGCTCAGCCCCATCTTCTTAAGGGGCAATTAGGGATGGGCAAGAAATGCTGACCCAGCCAGCGACACCCACATCCCACAAAATGAATAAAAAACACACGCACAGACACAGAATCACACACAGACACACACAGACATCTGGAATGCAGTGCTCCCTCAGTACTGCCCCACTGACTGTGCAGCGGACCCTTGGAACAGTCAGAGGAAATTGTTCGATTTCCTGAGGGAATAGTTTCTCTCGGGAAGGGAAGGGTCTACAGTTTTGATCTCAAACAACCGACTTTGTGTCTACCTCAGTTGCATAAGGCTTGATGACAAAGTGCAGATGGCGCTGACATTCCTGTGAGATGTTAATTGTTTTTGAGCATTGCTCTTTATATTAATGTGCCGGAAATACCTTCATCTGACTGTCATAAATATTTGATCGCAAAGGCCGCAACAAATTTTTGCCATTTCTGTTTCGTTAATTGGAAAGGAAGCTAATAAGTTATGCAGAGAAATAAATCATGCATCATGTTTATGTTAGTTGAGATTTGTTTCAGAGCTGGTGACATACTTTAACTCCAGTTGTCCAAAATAGATTGAGCCAGATTTTCTGACAATTACAGTCTGATCACAGCATCTTCAGAAATATGGAGCCATGCTTTAAATCTGGGGGAGTGAGGGAGCAACCCAGGAAAGAAGGGAGGGTGGTTAGTGTGAGGGTTTGGGGGATAGGGGGTTGATAGGCTCTGGAGTGTTAGGGGCTGTGATAGGGTCTGGGGGTTGGGGCGGTGGTCAGGGTTTGGGGCATTATGGTGTTGACAGGGTCTGGGGGACAGAGGGGTCTCAGGTTCTGGGGGATGGGGGTAACAGCATCTGGGGTATATGGAGGTGTCAGGGTCTGGAGGATGGGGTGTATCAGGGTCTGGGGTTGGGGGGGTGTCAGAATCTGGCAGGGTTTGAGAGGGTGACAAGGTCTAGGGGGTAGGGGGTGACAAGAGTCTGGAGGACAGGTTCTGGGGGGGTGGGTGTGTCAGCTCTTGAGCAGTGTCAGGGTCTGTGGGGGGTCGGAACAGCTTGAGTCCCAGAAGCAGAAAGGAACCCAGGGGGAGGGGTGTCAGCTCAGGGTCTGGATAGGGGGGTGTGGGGATGAGGATTGTAAGGGGTTTTGGGGAGATGTGGTTGGGTTGTGGTGGGTCTGGTATATTGGGTGGAGTCAGTTGAATAGTTACTCTGGGATTAGGTAATGTTTTTAAATGTCTAACCTTTCCTGAGTAACTATTAACTGAGTTACATCAGAATCCTCCAAACTCTCCAGTACCTTCCTGCACCCACCGCACCCCC